AATGAGGTTTCCTGGTTTATCTTTCTTGGGCTAGACAAGCCAACATTCTCATTCTCTTCCAGGTATAAATGTTTAAAAATACCCCTCTCTCGTTTCTTTTAATAAAAAGTGAATATCTGTTCTTTTTAGCGCTGTCGTTTGATTATAAAGAGTTAAAGAGCTTGAACTCACGACTCCTATTGTTACCCCCCAGTATACATACATTACATTGTGCAGGGAGCTCCATTAAGTACATACACTGCAAAAACAAGGTTATATAGTAAGGTCAGATACTCTGGATGCGCTCCATGTACTATAATTATGTCGTCTTCATAGCAATGGACACTCACAAGTCACAATTATGACGTAACTGATTATTGGCGGAAGATGATGTGACTTAACGTTGCTATAGTGAGAATGGGGGGGGGAGGGTTTCTCCCATTTTACAGCTGACAAGCGTAGATTAATATCCTTCCCCCTTTCATCAGCAACGCTATCACTTCATCTTCCCATGAAATCAGTTATGGCATATAAAGATTTTCAGTGTCCATTGCTATGAAGACGACAATTCTAGTACTGGAGCGCATCAAGAGTATCTAACCTTACTATACAATCTTGGCAAAAACAATTCCAACAGGTTTAAAAACAACGATAGACGCTCAATTCAAGGAATTAAAAAAATATTTCTTATTATAAATTTAGAAGGAAATACGCGACAAGATATATCAAAGGATACATAGCTGATAGATCTTATTTTAGAAATATATTAACAAATCTTTGCGTGGAAATGTTTTATTTTGCCGCAAATTCCGCTTTTTTTCCTTGTGTGAAAAAAATACGCAGATCCGCATTTTGCGAGGAATTCCGCGAAGCAATTTTAACAGAATTTTCGTTAATAATATTCCGTGAAATTTTGGAAATTCAATAAATACAGTTCGCTTGTTTAATTTTTCTGCCTATCTTATTCAAATATAAAAAGCTTGTGCATNATATTCATTAGATGCCCCTATTCTTCCAATGTCTATAGTAGTTTTGTAAATGCAAAGATTTTAAATTGAGTTTAAAATGATCTGTTGAACATATGACTTATATACTAGTGCACCATGCATATACATATAGGCATCAATCTTAATACCTTCTGGCAGTATATATGCAAACATATTGCTCACAGACACACACATTATTCATACATACACAAACACACACATATTTACAAACATTAACTCTATCTTTTAAGCAATAAATTATCTTTCAGGCAAATTACTATACTTCTGAATTTTACTTTCCCTAAACTATTTTCATTAACTTAATAATTATATCTAAATACAATATACCATTCCTAACAATAGCTATAAATTTCCAATATTCCTTTCCCTCCTAACAATAGCTAAAAATTCCCAATAAATCTGCCCTTCCTAGCAATATCCCAATAGTTCTATACCATTCTTAAAAATAAATGTAATTCCCAATAAATTCACCCTTCCTAACATTTTCCCAATATTTCTACCATTTTTAAAAATAAATATAATTCCCAATAAATCTACCCTTCCTAACAATTTCCCAATTGTTCTACCATTTTAAAAATAAATGTAATTCCCAATAAATTCACCCATCTTAACATTTTCTCAATATTTCTACCATTTTTTAAAATAAAAATAATTCCCAATAAATCTACCCTTCCTTACAATTTCCCAATAGTTCTATATACCATTCTTAAAAATAAATATAATTTCCAATATTTCTACCCTTCCTAATAATAGCTATTAGCTATAATTTCCTAAGGTTTATCCCGGTGGTGTTGCTGGATCCGCATTTGAACTACTGCCGTTTGAACTATTGATCATTTCAAACAATTGATATCGTTTGAACTATTGTTAATTCTAACTACTGACAATGACGTCATTTCCTGTAGTTCAAACAACATATTATTTACTCATTTGAACTATTAAATATGCAGTTTAAAATTTTTTAATTTCCTGAAAAAATATAGGTCAAACAATCATCACAAAATAGTTTAATTAAGGTACTTTCCCAAAGGCATTTTCCCAAGGGCGACTTTCCAAGTGACAATTTCCCAAGTGGCAACATCCCATATGTGCATTTTTCCAAGCGACAACTTCCCCAAGGTTGGGTTAGGCTCTCTGATGTGCCGCAGGCTGCAATGGGGGGCCGAGCGCTGCAGCTAGGATGTGATAGGGGACCGAGCGCCGCGGCTAGAACAGGATGGGACCGAGCGCTGCGGCTAGGACATACTTGGTAAGTTGCGGCTTGGAAAATTGCACGTTTGGGAAGTTGCCCTTGGGAAAAATACTTCTGGAAAGAAAGAAAACATCCTAATGATAACCCCAATGTCCCAATGCAATGCTTGACTTTCCCTAACAATAGCTAAAAGTTCCCAAATAGTTCCGAACAGTTCCTAAAAAACAATATCTATAAGTTCTCTCTTCCTAAAAATTTCCCAATACATTAATTCCTAACAATACATATGATTTCCCAATATTTTTCCGTTTCCTAATTAACAAACTCCAATGTAAAAAATAACTTACTTCCCCTTCCAATAGCTTTAGATTCCAATTAGTTCACTTCCTACTAACAACAGCTTTGATTTCTTAATATAACAAAAACTAAAATTTCTCAATTTCAAATTTTTTCTAATATTAGATATAATTTCCCAATACTTCATCCGAACAATGGCAGTTATAGTTGCCAAATAATTACATCTTCTAGCTAACCGTACCATAATTTACAACTTTACAAGTATAAAGTTCCTACCGATAACTACGATCAGGATAACGTTCCTACCGATAACTACGATCAGTATAACGTTCCTACCGACAACTACGATCAGTATAACATTCCTACCGATAACTACGATCACTATAACGTTCCTACCGATAACTACGATAAGCGTAACGTTCCTACCGATAACTACGATCAGCGTAACGTTCCTACCAATAACTAGGGCTGGGAAACCCATGTCCCAAGTAAGATACACCAGGATCTAGGGCTGGGAAACCCATGTCCCAAGTAAGATAGACCAGGAACTAGGGATGGGAAACCCATGTCCCAAGTAAGATAAACCAGGAACTAGGACTGGGGAACCCATGTCCCAAGTAAGATAGACCAGGAACTAGGACTGGGGAACCCATGTCCCAAGTAAGATAGACCAGGAACTAGGGATGGAAAACCCATGTCCCAAGTAAGATAGACCAGGAACTAGGGCTAGGAAACCCATGTCCCAAGTAAGATAAACCAGGAACTAGGACTGGGAAACCCATGTCCCAAGTAATATAGACCAGAAACTAAGGCTGGGAAACCCATGTCCCAAGTAAGATACACCAGGAACTAGGGCTAGGAAACCCATGTCCCAAGTAAGATAAACCAGGAACTAGGACTGGGAAACCCATGTCCCAAGTAATATAGACCAGAAACTAAGGCTGGGAAACCCATGTCCCAAGTAAGATACACCAGGAACTAGGGCTAGGAAACCCATGTCCCAAGTAAGATAAACCAGGAACTAATACTGGGAAACCCATGTCCCAAGTAAGATAGACCAGGAACTAAGGCTGGGAAACCCATGTCCCAAGTAAGATACACCAGGAACTAGGGCTAGGAAACCCATGTCCCAAGTAAGATAAACCAGGAACTAGGACTGGGAAACCCATGTCCCAAGTAAGATAGACCAGGAACTAAGGCTGGGAAACCCATGTCTAAAGTAAGATACACCAGGAACTATGGCTGGGGAACCCATGTCCCAAGTAAGATAGACCAGGAACTAGGGCTAGGGAACCCATGTCCCAAGTAAGATAAACCAGGAACTAGGACTGGGAAACCCATGTCCCAAGTAAGATACACCAGGAACTAGGGCTGGGAAACCCATGTCCCAAGTAAGATACACCAGGAACTAAGGCTGGGGAACCCATGTCCCATGTAAGATAAACCAGGAACTAGGACTGGGAAACGTTTCGATAACGAATGACAGTTTCTAAAAATAAACGGAAAATTCCGTTAAAAGACGGGAAACGTAAATTTTCTAATTAATAATAAACAAAATCAACAGTTTCTGAAAAAATCTAACTTAAAATAAAGAAAAAACTGCTTTTTGAATTCATTTCATATGCAAAATTTTATAATTTGTTTTTTATTCCTTATTATGTATTAAGAGGGTCTATCTAGTATCTATTGTATACTAAAAATAAATTACGTATCTATCTATCCATAGCATTAACTTCTAAATCTACAGTGTGGACATCAAACATGGCAATTTCTTAATTGGAAAGATTAAACTCCATTACATGCATCATTCTTAGATTATTCTTTAAATATCTATAGTAACGGCGTTTCAATAGTTTGGTCTGTCTTTTTTTGCGTTTTAAAAAAACAGTGAATAAAAAAGATTTAGTTCAGTTTTTAATTTAAAATAGCATCTTTAAATCTACAGTGAAACCCTTAACAACGAATACATCGGAAGAATTTATGAAATGTCGTCATGACAATTTTTCAATGAGTTTTTACTATATTACGTAAATTTTAGTATTTGCGAAAATAAATAAATAGCCATGAATATGCGGGAACAGTTTTAAAGAGTTCCATATAATCATTTAATTAAAAAACTAAATATCTGCAACATTCCATTATCAGAAAGTGAAGAATACGACATTTGATGAATTCTTTCGATGTATTCGTTATTAAGGGTTTCACTGTTGGAAATTTTTAGGATACTAAGAAGTTACATTAGACCTAATCCGGCTGAGGGGGGTCCCGGGCCCCTCCTAACGTTTTAGGACATCACTTTACAAGTATTGGTCTGTTTAATTTATTTTCGACTTTTCTTGAATATAATGCACAACAATCTATACTATTTTTTAAACCATGGATCAATTAAAATCATATAATTCGGAGAATAATACATTTGTACAGATACTGGGTTATTAAAGGGACTGTTATCAATTTCAAGTGACACTCCATGCATTTAGAGCAATAACCGATTTACAACAGTACCCTTAAAAGCTTTGTCTGCAGATCAAATAGGTTTAAAGGGTACTATTGGAAATCGGGCATTGCCATCTTTGCATGGAGGGTCCCTATACAGAAACAATTTGAGTATTCGGAGTGCATATTATAAGACAGAATTAGGTTAAAAATAATAATATTTAATTCTAAAGCAGAAGGATTGTTAATTTAACAGTTGGCAGAACAAAGACGACATTTGTGAGCTGCTGAGTTCATGCTTGTTCATCTAATACTGTATATTGAGCAGTAGCTGCATGATCTTTAAAGAGGGCTGAACTCCACAGCAATTCCGTCTTTGCTCTATTATGATCAACTCTACAGACGACAGTTGTATGTCCAGACTAAGTGCGGACATAAGCGCTTAACGCCCTGTCCAAGTCAGTTTTCTCCACTTAAAGCGAATTTGGAAAGCGCAAACTCAAGTTGGACTTAATTGGGAACAAATAGGGCAGATTTAATTAGGAAGAAGTGGATCCCATAGGAGACTAGATTAGGACTGTGATCCATACAGATAAACTGGATTAGGAAGCTGATATATAGAATTAGGAAGTTTCTGGTTCAGAATCCACCTGGAAACAAATAAGGGATTTTTAGGGACTGTAAGCGTAATTTAAAGTAAACTTCCATGCATAGATGGGCGATGGCAATTCCCGATTCACAACAGTACCCTTGCAATCAATGATCAATAATGAGGAAGATAATAATGTTCGTCTAGGCTCAAAATTGTTAATTAAGTTTTCCTTCAGTAAAATTGCGCAAGTCACTTTTGTAGAGAAATTAAAAATTTTATACATTGAACTTACAATGCTTTCAAGGATACCGTTTTAAATTGCGCATTTCCAACCTTGGCATGGAGGGTCACTTGAAACTAGGCTTACAGTCCCTTTAAAGGATTCAAAACAAAAATATTAATTTGTAAAAGTAACTTTAAAAAATGGATGACCTTGACTTTCTTATGAAATTTTGAAGTTATGCATGACTTCCAGGCCTGTGGAAGGGGAAAACTGTATCTAAAAAGAAACAAAAAACTAAATTATTTAAGATTTTGCTTAAGTTTACAAGCTTTTATCGAATTACAAGTTTACATGTAATCAAACAGAAGCTTTTTAAATTAACAGATTCTCTCGACTTCTATGTTTATGGGTAGTGTGTATCAATGCTGTTTAAGACCTTGTTATGAATCAAAATTGAAATCGAAAGTCGTCTTCATTGAATTGATATAATCGCCTACCACTGTAGATGTACTAAATTCATTATAAACGTACCGTGTACCGTGTACTGTACTGTGTACTGTACACTGTACACTGTACACAGTATGGCAGGGTGGGTGATATGTGTAATTTATTCGTATTTTACAAGGTAGTAAAATTCGTTGAATTTGGAAGAAAGGTTCGGAGTGCAGTGGTCAGAAAACCTCAAACATTTTTGAAAATGTTAATTTTAAGCAAAAAATCATACACATCTCGAAATGAGATGAATCCCGTAGTGCAGTAATTTTGAAAATTTCCAATGAATGATTTTAGAAGATCTGCCAAAAAATGAAAAAAGTTGGACTTTGATACTTTCTATCCAAAATTTTATTTATTCTCCTCTTAACTTAATTTCCCCAATTCTCCAAGGAATACCACCAAACCTTATGAAACTAAATTAAAATCTTTAACTTCGTTTAAGTGAAGATGACATTGACATGAGCTATCTATAAAATCAATTTAAGGATTTTAAAAGGTTTTAACACATGTTAATAAAAAAAATGTTTGTGAATTTTTATTGAGCCTAAAAAAAATTTACCTGGAGGGAATAGGACCAGGGACATTCGCTTCTAGATATCTAAACAATAAACATTAGTATTCATCCAAACACAACAGGGGTGTTTTTTAGTTCTGAGATTCATATGTTTTGCCCTCCCCCCTTTTCAAATTTTTTTTCACCCCAAAGTTACAACAATTTTTGTATTTTTGTTTTTACAATGAAGCGTTTTGGTGCCACAAAAAGGTAATTAACCAGGTCCCCTTTTCCTTTTCCCTTTTTCCTTTTTTTAAATATACAATATTCACCTAAATATACAATATTTATCTAAACATACAATATGTACCACAACATTATCCGTTGTCCGTGAAATAAAAGAATAAAACAATTTGAATTTTTTAGCCTATGTTTCCCCTCAGTTACCCATGGGTTTCCTAAAAAAATGAGCCCATTCAGTTTGGCCGTTTGGCCAGCTATAGCTGACATATATATATGAGCGTAGAGCTAAATATTATATAGATATACCATACAATATTTACCTTAACAAACAATATTTACATTTACATACAATATTTACCATAACTTACTATATTTATCTTAACATACAATATTTACAATAACTTTCAATATTTACCTTCAAATACAATATTTAACACAACATAAAATATTTACCATAACATACAATATTTACCATAACATACAATATTTACCATAACATAAAATATTTACCAAAACATACAATATTTACCATAACATAAAATATTTACCACAACATGCATTATTTACCATAACATACAATATTTAGCAAAACATACAATACTTACAATAACATACAATATTTACCATAACATAAAATGTTTACCACAACATACAATATTTAACATAACATACAATATTTAGCAAAACATACAATACTTACAATAACATACAATATTTACCATAACATAAAATATTTACCAAAACATACAATATTTACCTTAACATAATGAGATGATTTACTTAAAGGGAGTGTCTGGCTAGACATGGTAGTTGATCTGAGAATGCTTAATTGTCGAGAAATATTTAGAAATCAAATGAGACCTATAAGACCTTTCTACGATGTAGAAATTTCTCTACAACACTGCATTCTCAGCTCAACTACCATGTCTAGTCAGACACTCCTTTTAAATAATTAGAGTTTTAAGTTTTTAACTGTGTTTGGAGTTACCTCAGTAATCTGAACCACCAGAGTTTTGAGAGACTGTTTTCTTTAGTTATTTTCTTTAAAGTTTCGCTGTTTACTATTGTGTGGTATCCCCACCTGAATAAAAAACGTATCAAAAATGGTTTGAAATTAAAGGGACTGCTGACATAATTTCAAGTGACCCTGCAATTAAAGAGTGTCTTTCCCGAATCACAGCGGTACCCTTGACTGAGTGGCAATGAGAAGAAAGAAATTGTCGTTTTTCGCCTTGATAAGATATAAATTTGTCAAATTTCTCACTTGTTTCTAGATGCATCAATGCATATAACTTTTGACAAATCGTGATCGAAAATTGTGTTTTAGTGAAATAAAAAATATAAAAAATATAAAAAATAAAAACAAGGATTTTTATAATTTTTGCTCAACAGTCTAAATGGTATCGTTGTGAATCATACAAGTAACCTTTTAATTGGAGGGTCACTTCAAATTGTATATGTGACAGTATGTGACAGTTAAAATATTTGAGAAAACTATCAGCTAAATTTCTGTTTTAATCTGACCTCTCTAAGTTGAAAAACATTTTAGTTTGATTGTGAAATAACTGACACGTTATGAGATCCTTAGTACGAATTGACACACTGCAAGCAAACAAATTGTCAAGTCTTGTGAGCTCAATGAAAGACGACATTTTAATCCATACTTTCCAACATAAAAGAGAAAATTCGACACATGTAGCCCCCAAACTAACTTTTTCTTTGAAAATTTTTTTTGTAGTTTTTTTAATTTTTAGGCCTGCCCTATAAAGTACATTGCAAAAATTTTGTGAAGTATATACTGCGCAAAAGTGCACATGATTAGTAGACTCTGGGTAGTTTAATTTGCGACCTATTTCACTTCCGCTTTATTGTACATCCGACCTACGCGAACATGGATTACTTTTCAATCCTGATGTTACTGTTGTTTCATTATAAGAAAAATTAATTTATTACAGATTTTTAGAATAATTACTGTAATTTTTTAGCTTCTTATATTCAGAATTCTATAGATTTTTAAGTTGTTTATTTAGGCAGTTTTCAGAAAAAAAAGTTTAAATGAATGTGTTCACTTGAACATTGAACAGTTCCTATTTCCAGATTGAACTATAGTTCATTACTCCGAATTCAGAAGAGGGGAAGTATCGCTGGTCCGCTAAAATACGCTGTAAAATGTATTTAAATGTCGTCTTTGCTGTAGCGCACAGAAATAGAGGACAATAAAATATCCAAAAATTTGAGCACTGCATTGACCCGATATTATTGTGATAACGTTTTAATATTAAGATTATTTTATTTTATATTGTATTTTAAGCTATAAGAAAATCCACTATATAATGTTCTCAAGCTAGTGCAGTATATTAGTATTACCTTAGCCTAGTAGTTAATATATAAGCTATTAGAACATTCACTGTATAATGTCCTCTAGCTAGTACATTATATTAGTATTACCATAGCCTAGTAGTAAATATATAAGCTATTAGAACATCCACTATATATTGTTCTCTAGCTAGTACAGTATATTAGTATTACCATAGCCTAGTAGTTAATATATAAGCTATTAGAACATCCACTGTGTAATGTCCTCTAGCTAGTACAGTATATTAGTATTACCATATCCTAGTAGTTAATATATAAGCTATTAGAACATCCACTGTGTAATGTCCTCTAGCAAGGAGAAGGAAGAGAACACCAAACAGTGAGGTAAAGAAGGATATCCACTGGATCAGGAAGCAGCGTGCTGGTCCGTCTAGGAGAAATATCAACTTTAAAAACTAGCTTTTTATACAGTACGTAGCAGTTAACTTATCTTAACTTGATTTTTAGAAGTTTATGATTATCCTTCTCTGCTGTGAAAGAGACTGTATGCGAAATTTCAAGCGACTCCCCATGCAAAGATGGCAACGCCCAATTCACAACAGTACCATTAAAAGCTTTGTTTGATCAAGTATGAATTAGATAATTGGAAAACGAATTATTAATGATTTCGGATTAAATGCAGGAAGACCTATCTGTAGGAATTAACATAATTAAGCACTGTTAAACCTATAAAAACGACAATATCTTCAATATTATTGATCAGATAAAGGTTTCAAGGGTACCGTTGTGAATCGGGCATTGTAATCTTTGCATACAAAGCCTTACTGAAATTTAATGATTAAAAGAAGATGACAGTGACACTCATCCCACTGTTTCGAGAAACTTCTACCAGGGGGGTATATTTTCTTGAATAAAAATTTCCCCGCAGAAGTTAGGTTTGTTTTTTAGTTTTTTTACCCGCTGAATTGGGAAAATAAATAGATATTTTAATAAAAAGTATAAAAAGGGTTATAAAACTTGCCTTTAGATGTCCAATTTTTTATCTTCTAAATCATTTCTTAAAAATATAAAAAAAAGGTAAAATATTTACATTCTGTTATTGCCAAGTAGGATGTGACGAGCATTACAGTGTGTCCAGAGAATATAAAATCCCCACAGTAAACCTAAAAAATAAGATTCTAAAATTTAACAATTTTTTAACATTCAACAATGTTTGTGGAAAAAATGCAGAACAAAAATTTCAAAAATTTAATAAGAAAAACTTTAAAAAGCAGACATTTTAGACAGTGTAAAAATCAAAATTTTTAGATATTTTCAAATTAAAAAAAAAAATTTTTTACCTGGTTATCATTAATAGACAGTCCTCCTCCCGTTGATATCTTTACAACACGCGATACTAATTCTAAACAAATATTTGGAATTTAATGCGACTTATTAGGAATTTAAAGGGACCATTCACTTATTCGGGTAATTTTAGGGTAAACTAAATTGCCTATTAGCTATTCATTGGTATTAGTCATACTTTTCAAAGACAACTGTGGCCTGAGAAAAAGCCGATTTATCATTCAAAATTCCAGCGCAAAGGTATGATACCTTTGCAAAGACACTATTTGATGCTTATTGTCATAGTCATGGATTTTTTTAAATTTTCAAATATTAAATTGAATTTTAGTATCTAATAGTTAATTGTAGATATTTTAAACTTTTTTCAAAATTATTTAGAAATTGTCTATTTTCAAAATATAACTTATTTTTAACATTTGACTGTTTGACGTTTTCTCCAATTCCCTAGATATCCCCGTGATGCATTGAAATGTTGGAATCTTCAATCCAGGAACCGGTTTCTCTGAGAGAGAAAGTCGTCTTTGTTTAAAGTGTTAATTTGTTAAATCATGTTTGAACACGAAAAACCAAACGTTAAATTCTTGCTAATTCTAAAATCAAATGTCTTTATATTTTATTATATAATGGCTGACACATGATGTCATTGAAATATGATAATTTAAGCTTTTATTGGGTTGTTGCTGTTGTTTATGCAAAGGTATCATACCTTTCCGTTGGACTTCTAAACGATAAAACGGTCATAGATATCCGATTTATCGTTTAGAATTCCAACGGTCATAGAAATCTTTGAAAAGTAAGACTAATACCAATGAATAGCTAATAGGCTAATTAGGTTACCACGAAATTACCCAAATAAGTGAACGGCCCCTTTAAAGGGGACTACTCTGGTATTTAAAGAGACTGCCAACGTAATAAGTGAACGGCCCCTTTAAAGGGGACTACTTTGGTATTTAAAGAGACTGTCAACGTAATAAGTGAACGGCCCCTTTAAAGGGGACTACTCTGGTATTTAAAGAGACTGTCAACGTAAATTCAAGTTTCCTATATTTGTGCACGGTTAACAACGGGACTATTTTAACAGACATTGCTGAGATAATAATGATTTTTTCAAGGAAAATTGGTTATTTTTATATTGTAATTTCTGTTGACTTGATTTGTAATTTACGGATGGGCGTCGTTTAGAAGTCTGTTTTGAGGTCTGTTTGAGGTCTGTTTTTAGGTCTGTTTTGAGATCTGTTTTAAGGTCTGTTTTAAGGTCTGTTTGAGGTCTGTTTAAAATTTACCAAACCAACTGATATTTACTCTGGATAAAACTGTTTTGGTAATATTTCTCAACTTACAGAATAAATAATAAGAGAATAGAACGACGACATCTTCTAAAACCCCCGTGAGTATATCACAAAGGATGAGACTTCATAGACGACTTTAAGGAATTTAAACTCCCTGTACACTTATGTTCATAGTTTCCTGAAACTGTAAACCTGTTTCTCTTTTTCAAATCATTTGATAAGCCATTAAAAACTATATTCAAGGCAAGAAGATTTAATGTAAACCTGGGATTGTCATATTTTAGGAGTTTCAGGTCGTCTTTGCAGTCTCATCCTTTGTGGGTAATCTTGTATTCTATATAATAAATCTCTTCTCTCATATAAATTTATATGTTAGCTTTAGCTGGCCAAACGGCTGGACCGAATGGACTTAAATTTTTAAGGGTACATAGATTCGTCATTTATTTTTCAAAAATCAAAATTACTTTTATTATTTGAGCTAGTATATATACCTGAGAAGGGTAGAGATCCATTATTTTTTTTATCACAGTGGTAAAGTTTGTCTGATTTAGGGAGAGCAGTGACGTAGAAAGTAGCTGCTCGGTAGAAATATAGAATCCCAAGAAGAAAGAATATTCGCCGATATATAATGGACCTACAAATATTTTTTTTATATTATATAAAATCGCTTATTTGGCAGCAACAGCTAGATGGTTGCCACAAATAAGCTCAAAAATTACTTTGAACAAAAAATCGTTTATTTGGTAGCAAAAATAGGATGACTGCCAAATTTTCGATTTTTTAACAAGGTATAAACTGTCAAACTACTTCAATGGTATGGGCAGAGAGCACTAGATAGTAAATAGCTATTTATTCCTATTTGTTTGTCAGCAATTATACCTGTGTGTGTCACCAACTATAACTGTGTGTATCAGCCATTATACCTGTGTTTGTTAGCAATTATACCTGAGTGTGTCAGCAGTTAAACCTGTGTGTGTCAGCAGTTATACCTTTGTGTGTCAGCAATTATACCTGTGTGTGTCAGCAATTATACCTGTGTGTGTAAGCAATTATACCTTTGTGAGTCAGCAAGCACAGCTGTGTGTGTCAGCAATTATACCTGTGTGAGTCAGAAAGCATAGCTGTGTTTGTCAGCAATTATACCTGTGTGAATCAGTAATTAAACCTTTGTGTGTCAGCACTTATATTTGTGTGTGTCAGCAATTACACATGCGTGTGTCAGCAAGTATACCTGTGTGTATGAGCCAGTACTACGAAGTTTGCAGCAAATATTGAGGTTATCATCAAAACTTCACTCAGCTTTAAACCCCAGGATATATAACTAAAAAAAATAGGCTCATTAAAGGGAATGTAAGCATAATTTCAAGTGAACCTCCATGCAAAGATGTCAATGCCCGATTCGTAATGGTACCCTTGAAACCTTTATCTGATCAGTAATGTGGGAGATATTATTGTTTTTCTAGTTTTAAAACGCTTAAATTTGATAATTGCTATGGGTCTTTCTGCATGTAGAAATGCACAAGTCACTTTTGTAGAATCCACAATATTAAATAATCAGTTTTACAATGATCTAATTCATGCTTGATCAGACAGGATGCCAATGCCCAAGTCTACGGTAACCATGAAAACCTTTATATGATTTTTGTCATTTTTCAAAGTTTATTCCTATGTTTTGTCCTACAGAAGAAATGCGCTATTCACTTTTGTAGAGAACACCTCCACTTTTGTAGAATAATCAGTTTTCTAAATTATAAACATTCGTGCTGATTCGTTCTTAATCAGACTTAAGTCTTTAAGGGTACTGTCGTGCATTGCCGTCTTTCAGTGAAAGGTCAATTGAAATTACGCCAGTAGTCTCTTTTATTATTTATTTTATTGCATTACCAAACCTTACATTATTACGGTGCCACTAAAAAAATGTCAAGTGTGAACAAATAGGTTAATTCCAGAATATTTTTAAAAATATCGTTAGACAAAAAGCGCTCCTTTTACGCTGATGGCAAAGTTTCTTCAAATTAATATTTCATGTTGCTTTTTAATAATTCAATTCAAGAATTTTATATGAAAAAAATGTAAAAATCTATTTAAAAAAAATACTTCAATGCTGTTGCATTTTTATATCTATTTTTCGAACTATTTTCAACTATTTTCTTGGAAAAATGTCTAGATTTTTCAAAATAGAAATTGGTTTGCACATCTGGCAATTATGCAGGGTCACTTTACCTCACATTATCCAGGAATATATCCGGCAACGGATCCCCCTCAGGCATTCGCTCATGGGTCAAAACTGAAATTTCAAAATTTAATTTCAACAAAGAACGATTTAACTACAGGGGTGTTAACGAAGAACGATTTAATTAAAGGGACGTGTTGTAACGTCTATTTTCTTATAAATCTTTTGAAAATTGCTTAAAGCATTCATTTTGTTTAAGCTTCTATTCACTACTTGGGGAAAATAAAAAAAAAATTTCGGTAAAAAGTATAAATAAGGATTAAACAACTTGAGGGATTATTCTTGAAAATATATACCCCTATTTAATCAATAAGGTTTACTTAGACTGAAGGTGGTTATGATGAACCCTAGACCCATAAAAAGCATAGTCATCAGTGTTTTATGCCATTCATCTGAAACAAAAGTAGAAAATTTAATTTCAAAGATGAGAACATTTGTAACGTTTTCGTTTACCTGGAAAAACTAAAACTTCATTTTCTGTTGGAGCATTTTCAATATTAACAGTGCAAACTTCTTCAGTTTTACTTTCACTTTCATCCTCACTGTCGGTGCTCATAAGTAAAGGTGTGTGAGGGGAACCAGCCTAATTAAAAATAAATGTACTGTGGCGGACATTTAAAAAATAAAATTTGACGGATTTCTATGGAAAATTAAACAGCTTACATTATTTGGTGGAAAGAAAACATGTCGTCTTTCAGGACTCTGGATTGGGGAACTGTTCTGAAGACGACATTCCTCGACGTAGTTTCCATTCTCCTCTTTCAGAATTCTAAACATATGGCAGACATGTTGGTTTTAAACCTTTCCGAATCATTTCCATGATTTCCGTAAAGAGTTACAGTTTATAAGTTGTAATATAAAGCCGTAATTATACGGTCGGAACATTTTATTCTTTCATATATTTAATGAACATGATTTATACCCCATCAACAGTCAATACATCAAGGACAAAAAACCACATAAAAACTCCTAAAAACCCAAAATTTCCTACAACATCGGGTTGCAAAGTTTTAAAATATAAAAAATCGGAGTTTAAGGCAAAAACTCAGCTCCTTTTGGAAAAAATGTATTTATAACCTTCACAAAGATTTGATTAAATACCGTTTTATACCGCTTAAAGGAATTAAGTTCGAGATATTTTAAATTTAAATAAAACGGGAAACTATAGTTTTGTTGCTAATTATCTATAAATACATGTCAAAATGGTTCCGCATGTGAAGTTCGTATCGTTCAATTTCATCATTTGATTTTTAAATATCTAACAACTTTTTTCCTATCTATACAAAACTTTTAAGTTTATATTAGAAGACGTAAAATCAAACAATTTCCTGAAATTGTTAAAACAAAAGTTTAAATGACATGATGGAAACACTCCTTGAAGCAATAGTTTAGATATATGTTTTGAATTCATAATACTTCGAGACTGACTTTCTTTTAGAAATTTATGTTGTATTTAGAGGATGCTATAGAAACATTGGTTACTTAATTCATTTTGTAAAATGTTGCTTAATCGGTGGTTCATGCGCGTAGTGGAGGTGGGGCGGTACCCCTGTGCCCCCCTAGACATGCACCACCCTAGGCCCCCCCTAGAGCCAGAGGCAGGCTCTAATTTATTAAACAGTAAACTTATATATATTCAGACTTTGTACTTTTCTTATTAATCGACAATGTCACCATTTGTCCATTTTATGATTATTTCTCAAATTCTTTCTTGTACCTTAATACAATATTTTTTTCGCAGGGTTTCATTTAAAATGAATGGTAATTATGGTCAGATGACTAATAGTCAGCCTTGAGGGAAGATTAATATAGATTTTAAACTTTATTTTTTCTTAATACCGGTTTTTAAGGGGGGTGCACATTAACCGTTAGAGGGGGGAGGGACAAAAAAAGTGCACCCCCCTAGGCTAAACCTCCATTACGCGCCTGAATCGGTTGTATTTTTTTCCTTTCTTGCAGGTCGTTTGAGTTGCCACACCAAATTTAATGAGAAAAACAAGCTTTAATGAAGTGTGTCCATCAGACCATCTTATATATCAATAATCATGCATTATTTAACTTCATTTATTGAGAAATCAAGAAGAGGTAGACCTCATGATTTTATCTTGATTGTGAAGTTCGCATTTCTTGACTCTGTTTGTCCAGCATTCTTATCTAATTTTTCAATAAATTTCTCATGTTAGGAAAGTAAACTTTTTTTTGCATCGACATTGAATTTATAAATTGCGTAGCTGCTTCGTCTTATCTTGGCGCCAGAAATATTGTGTGAATTTACAAAGATAAAACATATTTTTAAAAGTTGTCAAAAACAATGCATGGTAAAGAGACTATAAACATTATTACAAGTGACCTTCTCATTAACAGGTTACATGTCCTGTTCACAAAGGTGCCCTTTATACCTTATAACATTAAAAGAAATCTATCGTCCTTCTTAAATCTGTAAAAAATGCGAACATTTTATTAAGAAACCAAAATTAAAATAATCAAATTTAAGCTAAAGAACCGAGGATATCTTTTTCAGGTTTGGACAGACAATGGTTCATGGAAATCCTTGTGAATCAGACATGACACTCTATTAATGAAGGGTCGCTTAATATTATGTCTCCAGTCCCTTCAAACTGCTTAAGGGAAAAAAGTAACAGGAAAAAGTGAAACAATCGAAAGATTAATTATAAAAATTATTTCTTAGAAAAAAAATTAAATTTTATTTCGCAAAAATCCCACCATTTTAGTTACAAAATAACTAACTTCAAAACTAACCTCACGAACTAACCTCACCAACTAACCTCACAAACTAACCTCACAAACTAACCTCACAAACTAACCTCACAAACTAACCTCACAAACTAACCTCACAAACTAACCCCCTAGGCTAAACCTCCATTACGCGCCTGAATCGGTTGTATTTTTTTCCTTTCTTGCAGGTCGTTTGAGTTGCCACACCAAATTTAATGAGAAAAACAAGCTTTAATGAAGTGTGTCCATCAGACCATCTTATATATCAATAATCATGCATTATTTAACTTCATTTATTGAGAAATCAAGAAGAGGTAGACCTCATGATTTTATCTTGATTGTAAAGTTCGCATTTCTTGACTCTGTTTGTCCAGCATTCTTATCTAATTTTTCAATAAATTTCTCATGTTAGGAAAGTAAACTTTTTTTTGCATCGACATTGAATTTATAAATTGCGTAGCTGCTTCGTCTTATCTTGGCGCCAGAAATATTGTGTGAATTTACAAAGATAAAACATATTTTTAAAAGTTGTCAAAAACAATGCATGGTAAAGAGACTATAAACATTATTACAAGTGACCTTCTCATTAACAGGTTACATGTCCTGTTCACAAAGGTGCCTTTCCTTTGGTTATTATCCTCCCTGTATTGTCTTTCGACTTTGGGGCATCTTTCCGGGACAGGACCGAGTTGTAACATTTGTCCTTTCGAAAGTCCATCTTTGTGCGTTTACTTATTCTTTGAAAAATCAATTTAAATATGCAAGGACATTCTATGTTGTGTAATGCTTATAGATAATCCCCAATTTGACTTATTACAATTGTGACTTAGGCATGATATTGACATTTCATCGGATGTTAGGAGCTGGAGTCTGACCCAAAAGAGTTAATATATTTGCACGAATTCTAACAATCAAAAGTTTAAGTATGCTTCCTTGTGTTGGGAAAACTCTATCTTTTGGATACGATCGACGGCAGTGACTGACATAGACTTATCTGAAAAGTAATTATCTTTAATCGCATTTGATTATACACATATAAACTTGACATTGCTAACCCGAACATATCTCTAAAATAATAAACTATTTCCTTTTTACAAAATCGTTATTTAAAAGTTGGAATATACTGCATTACTCAGATATGCTACCGACAAAAGTCTCAATAATAATTGTTTTGATGTGACAATAATGTCGGTAAGAATCGATTTAGATGTGGTGCTAGCGTCGATAAAAGATTCTTGATTTAGATGTGACAAAAATGTCGATAATATTTTGATTTAGATGTGACAATAATGTCGATAAGATTTTGATAACTATCGTTCTACACACCTGAAAGAAAAGAGTGTATGATTACTGTTATTAAGGTATGTTTCTAATTCCACATGCAATAAAAAATTATTAAAAGGGAAATCGCGTTGTAAAACTCTCTTACATCTATAGAAATTAGCAAATTCACGTTTCTGGTTTATTTACACTTTACCCCATTTTTTAGTATTCTGTATTCCCGTTAATTCTGCAGCGCCACGGACCTATGTTAAGCCGGCTTTCACAGCTGTGCATTTCCGCGGCATTATGTTTAAAGTGTGGGGCAGCTGTTTATTCGAATTGATGTATGTCTAAATATGTTTTCCCTATCTAAGCACTGATCCTCGTCCCTAAATTATGTAGTGTTTCCTTGGAGCTGGTTCACCTCCCCCCCCTTATTTCGTGGTTATCTACTTCTCTAAGCATGCATCCGTGATGAATTCTTACCTTTACTGGGGATGACTCGGCTATAAGTACCTTTAATCTTGTTTTAATTTCCTCAGTCCTTTTGCATCTTTGAATCTGAAAGGGGTGTTAAATACCCCATTAGTGCTAAATAATTATTAACCTAAAAAGATAATACCCTAGCTACGTTTAAAACGAAGAGTTGTTATATTCCAAATTGTATGTTGCGTTTATTATTAATTGTAAGTATGGAATTCTCATCATTAAAACTTAAGTATGTTTTTGTTAATTTGTTGACTAAAATCTATCAAGTTATTACTAATTTCTTCGTGGTGATTGTTATATGTTTTATACTATTTGTTAGTTATTGCCAAAACCTTTACAACTTTCCCATGTTTCCCCCCTCCTCTTGAATTTGCCCCGTGCTTCATGCTCCATGTTAGATTACACTGTTTTATTTACCTGGTTTTTACTTACCTTAGATGCGATGCCAGTCCCTTCCTCCAGCACAACCAACCAATGCAAACTGCTTTCTTCTTGCACTGATGAGGGTCAGGTCGAGGTTCTCCTTGTCCCCCTGGCGGGCCTGTTCTTGCTGCCACTTCTTCATAGAACTCATGTGCAAGATCTCCATCTGATCCGAGTTGGTCCATATAAGATCCATGTACAAAATTGGGGTCCGTCCGTCTGTGGGAAATTCTTCGAATTCGTCATCTTCCTCTTGTGTTGGGAAAACTCTATCTTTTGGATACGATCGACGGCAGTGACTGACATAGACTTATCTGAAAAGTAATTATCTTTAATCGCATTTGATTTTCAACCTTTATCTTACATTACTTTTAAAACAAATCATTTTAAGTTAAGCTTGGAAGGAATTTAACGAATTAATATTTAAACAAAACTGAAGAATTGCGCCGAGTGTACAGTGTTAATGGCCTATAATAGGTCTGCACCGTTAACAGTTTACAGTATACTTCACTCTGCTGCTGCAACTGCAAGCTAGGCACTATATGTGCTCTCTACACAATACCAATTTAGACTGTATTTCATTTTCCGCAGGCCACAACCGGTTCCTATAACTACAAAGAACCATGGTATCATCTGAACAATTTTAGCAAACAGCTGAAAACCATGTTTTAACAAATGTTTAGTCAGATTTTAATGTTATGCAGTGTAACTTCTGAATTTAATAATAATGATGATAGTATTAACCCCTGGTTTAGTATACAGCTGTAATCCCTTTCAACGCTCGTCGCTCTGCTCGATCTTCTCTCACTCAATGGATTTAACTTCAACTACTCTAAACCACTCCTCCTTCATGTATAATAATCTCTCGTATTTATCCCCATCTCTATAATTCTTTCTGAAATATGTACAACATACTATTTTCTAAACTAAAATAT